ATTCTGGTAAGTTCCCTATATTATCAGAAATAGCAAGAGATGTTTTTGCTATGCAAGTGTCATCAGTCGCATCAGAATCTGCCTTTAGTACAAGTGGACGCATGCTGGAACCAAGTAGGAGTTGTCTTAGTCATTACACCATTGAGTTTTTGATGTGCACAGACCAATGGATGAAGTCAGAGATGAAGTTAAAGGAGCAAGCTGCTATGACTCTGTCTTATATATATGCTGACTTTGTGACACAAGATGAGCTGGAGAAAGGTTGGTTTTACTTTATTTCTCAATTATACTTGTAGCATTGTATGCTTTTACCTACTGAAATTGTGTTCTCTAAATGATTTTCAGAGTTTGGAGCATTAGGAGTAAACGAGTAGCTCTATAAGACTCATACTCGGCTTTTGGGTAATAATGTAAACTGTTTTTTCTCTGTCTGAACTGTTTTTGGTATTGATGAATCTTCTTTTCAATGTAACAGGAACATGATGTCTTTCTGATGCTTGTAGACTGTAGTTGTATGTTTCTGGTAACTTTAACAACAATTGAAATGTTTGTGTTTTGTTCTCTTTTGAATTTAGACAATTAATCAGCTTATGTTTGCTTTTTGTTTGGTTTCAATTTAGACAATGCATCAGTTTATCTATATGACTGTCTTTGGTTTCATAATTTAGACAAATTGAGTTATTTTTGCATAAGTATAATCAGGTTTTGTATGTTTGGTTATTTTTGGTTACTTTTGGTTATTTTTGGTTACTAATTACCCGAATTATACCCGAACCCAAAAATAATCGAAACTTTTCGGGTATTCAACGGTTCTTAAATTTAATAGAGGACCCGACCCGAACCCAATTAGAACCGAACCGAACCCGAACCGATAATTTATAATAACCGAATGGGTCTCGACCCCCTACCCGAATAGACTCGATACCCAAAAAAAAGAACCGAACCCGAACGGGTACCCGAATGCCCAGGCCTACAACAAACCTTGGGAAAGAAAAATTAAAGTTTTGACGAAAAAAAAAAAAAAAAAAGTTAAAGTTTAAAAATCACTAAACATATGATGGTTTCATTTTAGCATTAACCAAATTATGAAGTTTCATTTTGTAAAATAACGTGGTGACAAAATTATCAAATAAGTAGATGTTAATTTTTCGGATTGTTTTAAACGAATACTACGAATTTTTAACGTGTTTTAATACTAGCATTCTATTTTATCTGATCTTACATTAATTCAAATGGTATATCACTACATATTTTAAACAAGCTTAAAAACAATCCACTTATTTATAATTTCATCACGACACTATATTTGCAAATAAAACTCAAAAATAAAGAGAGAGAAAAAAAAAACGTCTACGGAAAATATGAAATACAACTTTTATAAACAATTAGATTAATGTTTCTAGAGTTTTTTTTTTTTTTTTTGGTAGGCAATGTTTCGAAAGTTATAACAATGTCACTAATGTAATATAAAAAAATTAACAAAACAAAAATTAAAATTAGAAATTGAAAATGAGATTTGTATCTAAAGTTATTGCAATGTCACTAATGTAATATAAAATAAATAAATAAACAAAAAACTGTTTAAGAATATTTTTTTTAATGAGATTGTTTATACTTTATATGTATTTAAAGTTATAAAAAAATTAACAAAACAAAACATTAAAAAAAAAAAAAGTGATTAAAATGATATAAAGAGAGAGTCAAAAAATGGAGAAGAGGGAAGAAAGAAACAAGGAGAGCAAAGAAAAAGTCCGTTTATCATCTCATCTTCTTCATCTTGAAATCGAGATCGAGAAAAAAAAAAACCAAAAATGGAGTCGAAACCAAACCCTAGACGTCCTTCAAACACAGTGCTTCCATATCAAACACCACGATTAAGAGATCATTACCTTCTCGGCAAAAAGCTAGGCCAAGGCCAATTCGGAACAACCTATCTCTGCACAGAGAAATCAACCTCCGCTAATTACGCCTGCAAATCAATCCCCAAACGCAAGCTCGTTTGTCGCGAGGATTACGAAGATGTATGGCGTGAGATTCAGATCATGCATCATCTCTCTGAGCATCCTAATGTTGTTCGGATCAAAGGGACTTATGAAGATTCGGTTTTTGTTCATATTGTTATGGAGGTTTGTGAAGGTGGTGAGCTTTTTGATCGGATTGTTTCTAAAGGTCATTTTAGTGAACGTGAGGCTGTGAAGCTTATTAAGACGATTCTTGGTGTTGTTGAGGCTTGTCATTCTCTTGGTGTTATGCATAGAGATCTCAAACCTGAGAATTTCTTGTTTGATAGTCCTAAGGAAGATGCGAAACTCAAAGCTACCGATTTTGGTTTGTCTGTCTTCTATAAGCCAGGTTCGATTTTCTCTTTTGGTTGATTGATTAATCTTGGAATCTTTCATGTTTGTTTGATGATGATTTGTTTCGTTGTATTGAAAGTTTGCTTCTTGAGCATTGTTTCTTTGTTTAAGGGAACTTTGCTTTGTATCTTCATCGAGTCTTTGAAACTTGATGTGTTGATTGGAATGATTCTGCATTTGTGTCTGGCTTGTATCTGTGATTCGTTGGAAACCAAATGGGGTATGGCTAATGCGGGTGGTTTCATCGTCTAATTGGTTTTTGTTTACTCTTCAGGACAATATCTGTAAGATGTAGTTAGGGAGCTTGCTTTGTTTATTTGTTCTTCATTGAGGAGTCTCTCATTGGAATTAATTTGCATTTGATCAAATCTTTCGTTTGTTTGGTTTCTTGATAGAAACAGGTTGGTTATGTTCTATATGAATTGAAAATCGAAATAAGGCTTCTGGTGTGTGTTGGGTTGATGCAAATTTTGCTGCTTGAGCATTGTTTCTTTGTTAGAGGGAACATTGTTTTGTAGATGTTCTTCATTGAGGAGTCTCTGAAACTTAATGTGTTGGTCGAAATTATTCTGCATTTGTGTGTCTGGATTGGATCTCTGATTCCTTTAGAACCAGATGGGTATGGCCAATGCCGGTTTATCGCCTAATTGGTTTTTTTGTTTGCTTCTTCAGGACAATATTTATACGATGTAGTTGGAAGTCCATACTATGTTGCACCAGAGGTCCTAAAGAAATGTTATGGACCTGAAATAGATGTGTGGAGTGCCGGTGTTATCCTCTACATCTTACTCAGCGGTGTTCCTCCCTTCTGGGCAGGTGTTAGTCTACTAGAAAATACAGTCTTTTCTATTTACAAGTTTCGAGTTTTTGTTTGAATGATGCATTCTTTTCTCTTGGGGATTGCAGAAACAGAGTCTGGAATCTTTAGACAGATATTGCAAGGGAAGTTAGATTTCAAATCTGACCCGTGGCCTAGTATCTCAGAAGCTGCTAAAGATTTGATCTACAAAATGCTCGAAAGGAGCCCCAAGAAACGCATTTCTGCACATGAAGCCTTGTGTAAGTTAAATTTTTTGTTGTTCATGTGGAATCAACTGCTCGTAATTATTTTGTGGTAAATATTGAGTAGTGAGTCTTCTTTTGATGTTATAGGTCACCCATGGATTGTCGATGAACAAGCAGCACCAGACAAGCCTCTTGATCCAGCAGTCTTATCTCGACTAAAGCAGTTTTCGCAAATGAATAAGATTAAGAAAATGGCCTTAAGGGTATGAATTCGAGTACTATACATTCACTTTTTCTTTATGCCCCATCCATTTTCTGATGTCTCTGGACAAAAATGATTTTTTCCCACAGGTAATTGCTGAGAGACTCTCAGAGGAAGAAATTGGAGGTCTAAAGGAATTGTTCAAGATGATAGACACAGACAACAGTGGCACGATAACTTTTGAAGAGCTCAAAGCGGGTTTGAAGAGAGTCGGATCTGAGCTGATGGAATCAGAAATCAAGTCTCTTATGGATGCGGTATGAACAAAACTCTCTTTCTCTTTTCAAAAAATTTCGTTTTCTTTTAACATCCACTATGTGTTGTGGCCACAGGCTGATATCGACAACAGTGGTACAATAGACTACGGAGAATTCCTAGCAGCAACATTACACATGAACAAGATGGAGAGAGAGGAGAATCTGGTGGCTGCATTTTCATACTTTGACAAAGACGGAAGCGGTTATATCACCATCGATGAGCTCCAGTCAGCTTGCACAGAGTTTGGTCTATGTGATACACCTCTGGACGACATGATCAAGGAGATTGATCTTGACAATGTAACCACTTCTTCTTTTCTTTGTTTTCCTCCTCCTTCAATGGAACTGTTTCATAACCGAGAGCTTTTGAATTGCGTAGGACGGGAAGATCGATTTCTCGGAATTTACGGCAATGATGAGGAAAGGAGATGGAGTTGGAAGAAGCAGAACCATGATGAAAAACTTGAACTTCAACATTGCTGATGCTTTTGGAGTTGATGGTCAAAAATCTGATGACTGACCCATCATTTATCCACAATTTCTGCAGTTTTATTTCTTTTATATTTTGGATTCTAAGGATACAGAAATATATTCTGGTTTGTTTTTGCTTCCCTTTTTATTTTTTTTGTAGATGAGCAACTTTCTAAATTTTTATCCCAATATGGATAATTTTGCTTCATATAAAAAATTTTGAATTCCAAAGAAATGTCATTTAGGGATGCGAAAAGAAACCGAACCAACTTCGGATTTCATCAATGCGAAACTGAATTTTGTTAAAATACAAACTGTAGAAAAATTTCTTATACCGACCCAAACCAAATCTCAATTGAAACCAAATTTTGTGAAATCGTACTTAACCAAAATTCAGAATTAATCATTAATTAAAAAAAAAAAGTCCATTTAAATACACTAAAAATCTATAATAGTAGTTAACATTATTACTTTTTTGTCACAAAACGAACAAAACCGAAATTGATGTATATTACTAAATCGGAAAACCCAAAATCTGATTCGAACCGAACTAAACCAGAAAACCGAAATTGCAAGCCTAGAAATTAAACCAATTTGAAGACAGGGGTATATTGGTATTTGCGTAGGAAGTGGATAGGATAACACTGCGATTTATTCTCCGTCGAGCTCCAAAGTTCTGAGCTCTCTCAGGCGAAAACAATGGCGTCTTCTTCAGCGACGCTCTCTCTCTGCTCTACTTTCTCTGCTCATTGCAATGTCACTTCACGCCGTTCGAGTACTATCCTGTGTTCTCTCTCTAAACCTTCACTTAATTTGGCTAAACCTGTGTCTGGATTTCTTTCTCCTTCCACTGCGTCGACGTCTCGAACCGCATTCACCGTCGCTCCTAAATTCGCTGAATCAGTCGTCGAAGCTGAACCAGAAACTACCGATATCGAAGCTGTGGTGGTTTCCGATGTTTCGGAAGTTACTGAGGAGAAAGCTAAACGAGAAGAGATTTTCGCTGTTGTTATGGTGAGTTTGTTGAATCAAATGAAAGAACAAATTCTCAATTTCGGTTTTAGCTTTCGGAATTTGGAACTAGGTTTGGTTGATTTGATGAGTTTGCTTTTAGAGTTTTGATAATGAGAGACTGTGTTTTGTATCATACGTATACTCTTAAGAATTAGGTTTAGGTTTAGCTGCAGAATAAAACGAAGAGTAATTTTCAATTTTGATTTAATCTTTGGCATTTGCAACTAGTTTTGGTTGATTTGGATGAGTTTGCTTTTGAATTCATTTTGGTTGATTCAGAGTCTGATCATGAGAGACTGTGTTTTGTGGTATATTCTCTTATTAGTTAGTGTTTAGGCGTTACGAATGTTGAAGAGTTTGGCTTTCTTATGAATGTTGCTTCTTTCATTTGCTATATCTGATTTAGTTTAGTGTTGTTCTCTTTGGTTGAATAGGTTGGTGGACGCCAATACATAGTGTTTCCAGGGAGATATCTCTATACTCAGAGGCTGAAAGATGCAAATGTCGATGATCAGGTATATGCACATTTGCTTTCAATGATTTGAATTCTTCTTTGTAAAATTTCGGTGAAACGAAATGATATATCTATAAAGGGATGGTGTAACTATGGAAGATTGAGTTAATCTTTGTGGCTTGTGTAGAAGTTCTATTTTTTTTTTTGTCTATGTTAACATTGTATTAAGCTGTTCTCTGTTGCTTTTTTGGTGATTCCTGAAGTTTTCATATTTGCTTCTTCTCTTGTGCAGATTGTTCTCAACAAAGTGTTGCTTGTTGGAACAAAGACACACACTTACATTGGCAAACCGGTTGTGACCAACGCAACTGTACATGCTGTAGTAGAAAATCAGGTAAATTAATACAAATGCTTTCTTATTTTCTTATTGGTGTTTTGTGTTGGATAACTGCAATGTTTTTATTTGCTACAGGGTCTGAATGACAAAGTGGTAGTCTTCAAGTACAAGCCTAAGAAGAAATACCGTAGAAATATTGGTCACCGACAGGTATATATCCACTGTTGATAAATCCAGCTTCTGTTCCTTGAATTCGAACTATGTAATGTTATAATCCACACCACAGACTGCCATCGTAATTTGTTATGGCTGATGAATCTGTAGAACTGTAAATAACGACACTTATATGATTTCTGTCTTGGTACTGCAGCCAAATACGAGGATTAGGATTACAGGAATCACAGGGTATGAAGAGTATCCAGCGGCGCCCAATGTTGCGGTTTAAATGTGTTGAGAAGTATAGGATCTTTGACACAAAATGTTTCTTGAATGTTAAAATTTTCTGATCTTCTCTATGTAATTTTTCTAAGGACCAGATCATTTCATTTCTTCTGAGATCCCTTTTATTAATATGTACCTGCTTTTGCCATTCTTTGATCACAAATTCTAAGTTAGTGTAAGAAAACTTCATCATTGCTCGCTCATCCATTCATCTAGGCTTACTGATGAAATTTATAGAATAGATTTTTTTTGTAGTCGCACAATTGTGTCGTTGCGATTCGAAAAGTGGGCTGGAATTCCGGTTTCAGGTTTTGATAGGGTGCTCTACTTGTTTCGTAAGATGCATTCTGGTGATTTTAGGATGATGAATTGAGATATTTGAGATGTTTTGTGGTGACTTTCGGATGAAGAATTGAGAAATGAGGTTTTTTAGATTATGCAAAAGATAGTCACCGATGGGTGGGGGATGTGCCTTTAGTCAAGTGGTTAAGTCCATTTGACTCCGCCTTCTCTACCGGAGTTCGACTCCACTAAGTCGCGTTACCCCGCGTAGTAGGGATTGGCTATGGATCGGGCCTTGTCGATCCAAAGATATCAAAAAAAAAAAAAAAAAAAAAGTCACTGATGGGTGTACCAAGATTGAGAAGGTTATATATGTTGGGTTGTATTTGTTTTCTCACCTTTGTGGTTGATTAGGTCCGAGTTTTGATTTCCTAATTTGCAATGTTTTTTTTTTTTTTTTTAAGTTTAGTGCGACAAAACCCCTTTACCAAAAATAAAGAAAAACACAAGATCTAGGTTCATTCCTCAGGAATGGCTCTTTTGAGCTTTAATTTAAGCTGTTGACAAAAAAAAAAAAAAAAAATCTAGGTTAAGACATTTTATAAATAACTAAATACTAACTTATTAATTATTAAAAAATATATGTTCTAAAGTATATTTCATTTAGTTTATAAGATTTCAATTTGTTCATAGATTTCTTTTCTAACTTAAATTTCAGAAATTGCATAATATTTCCTATCTCTTTCTTATCTTTTTAAATATAATATTAGTCTTCAAAGTAATGTTATTAAAGTAGACTTTTAAAATCTGAGAAACTATTGAACATGCATGATTCTTATTTAAAAAAAAAAATTAGCCCCTTTCATTTTTATAAACTTTTTTTTACCAGCCAGTTGGCCAATGAAAATCTGAGAAATTTTGCAAGCTTTATAATATTTTGTAATTATTTTTTACATAAATTTATTTAAATTTCATTAAAAATATCTAATGCTATACTATTAATGGTTATATTTGAGTTATTTCTGTTTATGTATGCAAGATTTGTTTTTAAGCATGTAGATAAGATATAAAAGCAGAGATATCAACAATAAAAGATATTATTAACAGTGATAATAATAATAATGAAGACATTTATTAGTTATATTTTCTGAAACTATATAAGGTCCGAGATCCTTTCATTTGATTCCAATACAATTTCATACTAACATCTTCCAAGTAAACAATTATGATTTATCTATTTTTTACAAATTTTCCATTACATTTTACAACACCATCATATATACTAACAACAATCTTCTTGTTGTTTCATTTCTTGCATAGGGAAATAGTTTGGTGAGTTACTGTAAAAAATGTCGGTGAAGGCTAAAGCGATGCAGCGAATTGCGAAAGAATTCAGGGACATGACCTCCCCAGCTTCTTTGTACAGTATTGGTTAGGACTTCTTTTTATTTTTATTTTCTGCATTATCAATACAAATAATATCCACATTCTAAATCTAACGATTTTGCTTGTGTCACTTTTGTCAATAAACGTTAGAAACTTGACTATCTAGTGTATGTATGTAGTATGTACCATACTAATATTTTCAGTTGTAACCACAAGTCCACAACCATACAAATAAGTAGATTATTATAATTATGTTTTTGGTGTTAAGTATAACAATACTACTTGTTGATGATATGTATCACTATAGGTAGAGACGACTCAAACAATGTATTCAAATGGCAAGCGATGATTCAAGGACCCCAAGGTACTCCTTATGCCGGTGGCATGTTTAGCATCGACATTGAGTTTCCTGAAGATTATCCTTTTAAACCACCCAAGGTTGGTTATCTATTATAAATTTGAAATTTAAAAGGTTAATTTTGTTGTTTACAAAAGAAATATGTTTTACGATTTATTTTGTAACAGTTTACATTCAAAACTCCGATTTACCATCCAAATATCAATTCCAGAGGATCGATTTGTCTTGACATTCTTAAAGACAAGTGGACTCCTTCTCTCACTGTTGAAAAGGTTCAAAAACTTGATTCATAAATCAAATATTTTGTTTATTTTGTTCTTTCTCATTCTATTCATTGTTTTCGAATTGTTTTAACAGGTGCTCTTGTCCATAACTGCACTGTTGGCGGATCCAAACCCAGATGATCCTCTTGTACCTGAAATTGGAGAACTTTACAAGAATAACAGATTCCAATTTGACCAGAGAGCTCGGGAATTCACCGAGCGACATGCTTTTCTTTGAAGTTTGTCATATCTTTTTAATAATCATCAACTGCTTCCGGATATAAGTTATTATTATAGCTAGACTTCCTATATTATATTATAAATAAAAGTTACATTCTTGGTTCTCCTCGAAATGAATTATAAATATTCGAATAAAAACGTGAATTGAATATGCCATGCATAGCCCTGAGACCAATTTTCCGGGATCCGTTCTGAAAAATGGGATATCCGGGTGATCCGGGTAATGAAAAAGCGGATCCGGATAATAGAAAATTGAAAGCCGGATATCCGGATCTGGAATATTTTATATTATAATAATATTTTTAAATATTTTATTACTATTATTTAAATTTTATTAATAAATTATATTTTTTTATATAAGAATAATATTTTTTAATAATATTTTTAATTATTTATATTAAATTATTTGTTTTTAAATATTTTTTTCAAATTTTATATTAATAAAAAAATTATATAAAAAAACCCGGATCCGGATATCCGGCGGAGATCCGACTCTTTTTATGGATATCCGAAATCCGGATATCCGGGTAGAACGGATCCGGATCGGGATAATGAAAAGGCGGATCCGGGCATATCAGGCTGGATCCGGATTTGGATACCCTAAAAAAAGCCGGATATCCGGATCCGGTCCAAGCCTAGCCATGCATAGCAAAACATTGAATGAGTGCTTTTTTCTCTTTGAGTAACAAACCAATACATTGAAGTATTTGTCTCCTTCCGTCTTAAATTAAGTAATGTTTTATAGTTTTGTGTTTGTTGGAAAAATGGTCTATTTCCCCACGAGAAGTATGACATCATAACAGATAGAGCCCAAACTTTAACCCCGGTCTATATGTCTCTAAAATGATACTTCTCAATCTATATATTCCCGAATCCATAGTTTAAATTTTATATCTCCCTAAAATAATAGTTCTCATCTAATTATCCATAGCCATTGGTTTTGTTCGGTTTAATGTATGCTAAACCAATTTACAAAAATAATAAACCGGATTAAACCTAATCCAAACCCGATTACAATTGATTTCCTAATAACCCGACTATAAACCGATTCTCTAATAAACCCGATTTCAAACCCTTTTCGGTGAATGATCATCATCTTCGTCATCCTACATCAGAGATGAAACAGATAATCTCGTTTTACCAATCTTCCTCCAATGATTAAAATCTCTTTCTGATTTTAGACCCATCATTTTCTACTCTCAAAATCGAGACCAATGACTATCCAATTCCACAGCCGAGCAATTCCACGGCGGAGCCACCACCACCGACGTTCGTCGTCGTCATCCCAACACATGACTTGATGAAACAAAATAATCGGAGCTGAAGCAGATCCCTAATCTGAGACGAACTTCTTCGTCTTCCTCTTCGCTTCAACAACAGTGTCTAATTTTACTTATACTTGTGCTTTAAACTTTTCTGAGTCCTCTTTTAATTTTGTCATTGATTCTTCATCTTCTTCCTCTGAGTTTGTTTTTTTTTCTCCGATCCCTTTGAGTGAAATCAAGGATAATTAGATTGAGATTTTTGCCTTTGATTAATATGAGATCGTTTGTTATTACTTAAATTGTTCTTGAACTTGTTTGATTGTTTGTCTTGATTTCTCATTTTGCCTAATGAATCTAAAATAAATATGTTCCATTGTTGTTACTTCTCCAATGTTCCCGTCATTGTTGTACCCATTGGGAAAGAGATCAACTTGCAAAACTGAGAAAGAGGTCAAATTGAGAAATTTTAACAAATGGGTAACAAATTTGGTGATCATGGATGCGTACCTAGTGGCTAGATTAGAGTAAACCGATGGCCCCGATTCCGAAGAGCACATTGACGTTAAAGAAGAAGAGAATGTTTGCTAGCTTCGGTGATTCAAACACCATGAATGAATAGAAGAGAACTCTTAATCGGAGGCTGGAGAGTAATTACGGAGAAAGGTGAGGTAGAAAAATTGTTATGATCTCATCCCCATCCAAATCGTGAAGCCATTAAAATGGTTTGGTGAAGAAGAAGAAGAAGAAATTGGGTGACAAATGGTCGGGTTTTAGATTGGGTCGGGTTTTGAAATGGGTCGTGTTTTAATTTTGGTTATATTGAATTTGTGTGGTTTTCTATCGGGTTTAATTCGTAAACCGATTAAATCCAGTTTTGTGGGGTTTTAGTTCTAGAACTATTGATTTGGAGACATTAAGCTATAGAACTTTCAATTTGGGGGGAAATAAGAATAAAACTTTTATTTTATGGACATATAGACCGGGTTTAAAGTTTGGGCTCTATCTGTTATGATGTCATAGTTCTCGTGGGGAAATAGACCGTTTTCCCGTGTTTGTTTCACAAAAACTGTTTTAAAAACAAATAATTTATTATCTACTATGTGTAAATACATCTAGAACGAAACATAATTTGAAGTAAGGAAGAAGTATCAAACCATTACTGTAAGTTTTTTTGTTGTTGGATTTCTGAATAAGCTTAACTTTTGGATAGCTAAAATTTTCATGGATCCGTCTTTCTAACATAAAGCATCACTACTTAGAACGATAATTCTATTTTGGTCAAACGGACAAAAAATTCGAATTGTCAACTGTCTTTCCAATAGATATCAAAGTTAGGAAGCAAAGTTTTTCAAAAAAAATCAATTTTAGAACACTAGAATTCAATATGAAATATTTTAA